CACACACACACACACACACACACACACACACACACACACACACACACACACACAACACACGCAGACTTAGAAAACTCAGCACAACGCGGGAATCTCAGCAAGGCATACATTCCAGTGGCAAAACCCAGAAATCAGCAGTGTTCTCAGTCTGTGTTTTGGCGGGTCATTACAGTACAGTACTTTGGTACAATCAGGACACCACGAAATAAGGATGGCATTAAACCGCCAGTACACGGCCCCAGCCTTGCTGAAAAGAAAACTCGTCGCGTATGAAATTTTCGGAGGCCCAGGGCCGTAGATAAATCGAATCGGCGGCGGGTGGCCTCCGAAAAGGGACTGCGGCCGATAGCTGGATGTACTGGTGGTTTAGGGTTTTCCTGCAAATTTTTTGCATCTTTCAAGGTCTTCTCTTAATTCTTGAATGGTCCTCCATCTCTTATACTTGTCTGACCATTAGTGTTTGGTTTGCGAGACCTCGTGTTATGACCATGTACCCCATCTCGATCCTGACTCAAAAGCATTCACAGTTTCCCTTTCTCTGACAGTCAGGCATTGATTGCAGAAGATAGACTGCTTGAGCACCTCCTCCTCAGGCGATAGTCCTCTTCCTTTTGCGGGGAGGTTTTGTTTCATGTTTTGAACTCTCTCTGTTCTTTTTTTTTTGCTTTTTTTTTTTTTTTTTGCTTTTTTTTCTTTCTGATCTGTTGTTTATTTATTTTGTGGTTATTTTTGTCTGCTGTGAATTTGTCGTTTTGCAGATAGTGCTGTCTGGGATTTTTGTTTGTCCGTGGACCAATGGAGGTGCCTGGGCAGAGTCTGACCATTGTCTAGGCCAATTGGGAGTTTTGTACGTACCTGTGCTGGACCCAGTTTCGTCCGGTAGTGCCTGGGCCTAGGTTAGTTCGTAGTCGTAGGGTAGTATCAAACCAGGCATTGCTGCTGATGCACCATGAGGGCCTGGACAGCCAGTCGAGGTCCAGGCCACACATTTTAGGCCTGAGTCTGCTGAACCAGTCTCACGGTGTTCATCCCAAGTCATCAGATTGGATTGGAGCCAGCAGCATGAATGACAGGCCGTCCCAGGACCCAGTAGGCTGAGCACTATTTAGGAGAGAAGAGCGCCGAGCTTCACACATTGGGTATTGACACTCTTTAGACCAGCAGGCTGCTGGAGAGCAGCACTGGGCATTAGTGGCAGAGACTGGAGAGTAGCCCCCCAGGCAGTGGAGGCCTGTAGAGGGAGAGGAGTTGGAGATCACTCACCTGATGCCACAGCTTGGGGACTCCTTGCCTGGCACCATAGCCGGCCTTCTGCGACCTCAGTCCTGCACGATATCAGCCGCTTTGGGGCTCCGACCCTCATCTGTCAGTACATCAGTCAATGTGTGTGTGTGTGTGTGTGTGTGTGTGTGACACACACAGAGAGAGAGAGAGAGAGAGAGAGAGAGAGAGAGAGAGAGAGAGAGAGAGAGAGAGAGAGAGAGAGAGAGAGAGAGAGAGAGAGTTCTCTCTTCACCTTCTGCTCCTTCTCCTCCATCTTGTTCTAGAGAGAGATCAGAATAAGATTGGACACGCGACTTGGGGAGCATTGCTCCCCTGGACTGAGATCAGCAGCATTGTTGTTGGAGGTGATCAGGGGGAGAGAGTTAATTCTTCTTCTTCTTCTTCTTCTTCTCCTCCTCCTCTTCCTCCTCCTCCTCTTTCGTTCTTCGTCTTCTTTCTCCTTTCTTTTTCTTTCTTCTCAGTCTTCCTCTTCCCTCTGGCCTACGTTTGTCCATGTGATTGTGGGGGAGGTTCTTCTATGTTTGAAACCCTCCCCCTCGGTGTGATGTTGCTTCTCTACACCCGTAGTCCACGGATGTTGTTGGCTGAGTTTGTCTTGATTTGAGCCTTCCGCAGTGTTTATTGTTATTATCTCCCCATTTGGTGATTCTTGGATTTGCATGCATGCCATTCATCTGTGAGGCATGGGACAGAGTGGTATCTGAGGCGTACTACCGGTAGGCAAGCATTCGACTCTGCATTGATTGAGGGAGTGACCGATCTGTTGATTGGTTTAACAATGCTTGCCAACTTGCCAAGTCTTTTTTCAAACGTTCTATCCTGGTGCAATGCAATTCTTACCTTAGCATCTTGGAAGTTGGGAGTCTTTTGTTTTCATTGGATAAGAAAGGTCCGACCTTGATCTCTTCATGATTGTCCTCATCGTCTCATGCCTTGGGGCTTTCTGTCATCATTTGTGTGGTGTACTTTAGTAACCATTCAGTCAGACTTTTCCTCAAGATTGGTGTTCTCCTTTTCAAGTCTTTGATTGCTTGGCAGCTTCTCTGAAGCTTCAAAGTTTCAGCTTTTACTCTCGGATTATTGCAAAGTCCTTAGGTCTTATTTGTTGCCTGAAGTTCTTTGCTTTTTCTTTGGGGTGGGGGGGGGGGGGGGGGGGTTGGGGGGGGGAGCGCTGGGGGGCCAATGTGAGTTCTTCATTTTTGGTTAGCCCTTAGTCGTACTCTGTCTGGGCAATTATTTTGAGCCCATGGAGGGTGAGGAAATCTTGTCGGATTGATTCCTTGTTCCGCCAAACCTCCACACTATCTCCTCGGTCATCATCTCCGTGCTTCTTCTTCCTTCCATTCTTTCTTCTTTCTCTATAGCCAACTGAGCAAGTGGTTAAGTGCCATGTCAGCAGTGCCACAGCAGCAGGCAGGTGCCATGTCAGCAGTGCTGCATCAGCGCTCAGGTATCAAATCAACAAGCAGGTGCCACGTCAGCAGTGCCGCATCAGCGCTCAGGCATCACATCAAGAAGCAGGTGCCACGTAACCAAGCAGTTGCCATGTCAGCTGTGCCACGTGAGCCAGCAGGTGCCACATCAGCTGCATCATATCAGCTGTGCTACGTTGGCAGGCAGGAGCCACATCATCCGTGCCAAGTCAGCAGTACCGCTCAGCTACGCTCCACATGTGTATGGTACAGTTGCTGCACAGCATGACAAAGAAGATGGAGAGGAAGCAGGGTGAGTCTGATGACACTTACATGCTCCGCTTGCAGGCCATAATGGAGCACGCCCAAAACTTGTTTCAGCAGCAGCAGGAGGCAAAGGAGAAGAAGAGGCAGGAGGAAGAAGAGTGGCTGCGCAAGGGGGTTGAGGAAGCAGCAAAGTACCAAAAGGATGCGGAGGGGCAGGAGTACAAGGACAGGTTGGCTGCTCGAGAAGCTGTGCTCGTGGAGGAGTGTGCCATCCAGAAGCGGGCAGCATCCTGGAGCACCCGAGCTGCAGATCCTAATCACACGCAGAGCGAGGCTGATGCCAGTTTCCTGCTGAACATCATCTCCATGCTGGTGAAGACTGCTGCTTTGCAGCAGGAAGAGATACTCGACCTGCAGGCCACCCTGCAGCAGTGTATAAATCGCATTACCGCCTTAGAGAGGCAAGTGCAGAAGACTCCCAGCTCGTCGTCCTCACCAACCCCCACACTTGATCTTACCTCCTTGGAGAACCGGATAGAAGACCTGGCCAGTGGATTGAAAGATCTGCAATCCTTGCCCCTGCAGGTAGAGCAGCTGAATGACCTGGTGTCTTCATTGCAACAGACCGCACTACAGCAGGTGCAGACAGGTGCAGCGGTGGGTTCGGGTGCTGTCAGAATGCCTAAATTGGATCTCATTCCGGCTTTTGATGATCATCACAAGGCTGATCCGACCCAATGGTGGGACCTGTTCACTCGCACGCTTGACATGCATCAGACGCCGAACTATCTTCGGTTCATCTGTTTGTATCAGCGGTCCACTGGCGCCTGCAAAGCATGGATGGACAATTTGCAAGTGACTCATAAAGTTCCCATCGACGATTTGCACACCAAACTTACTTGGCAACAGCTCGAGGAAGCCTGGAAAAAGAGGTTCCAAGTTCAGAAGCCGCACCTGGCCGCAGCCCGCAAGCTCATGGCGTTCCGACAGGGTGGCCTGCTGAGCACAGATTGGATCAACGAGTTTCAGCGGTTGGCCTCCACTCCTAAGCTGGGCTTTGACTTTGAGGTTCTCAAACATACTTTTATTGAGCGCTCATGTACGCCCTTGCAGCAGCAGTTGATTGTGTACGTCGACTCGCTCAACACTTTGACTGAGCTGATGGACAAAGCTCGCGCTATTTGTCAGACAAACGTTGCCGCCAAAAATCTGCGGCATGCCACTCCGTGTCCTTCTTCTCCTTTCCTGGAGAAAGGACGACCTCTCCAACGTTATGTTGCGGTCACCCAGCCTTCATCGAGTGATCCACCAATGGAAGACCAGTCTACCGCATCGGACTCCGAAGGAGACTATGTGGCAGCAGCCCGAGGGAGCTCTTCACAGCTCAAGAATAAAGGCAAAGTTCACTCCCCATATGTTCATGGCAGCAGACAGAATGCTCAGCGGCCCTGGGTGCAGTACGGTCTCACTGAGTTATCTTATGCGTACCGCCAACGTCAGGGGCTCTGCCTGTGGTGCAACTGTGCTGCGCACCTAACCTCATCTTGTCCCAATAAGACTTGGGCTCAGCGGCAGATTCAGCACCAGCGACATACCTCCCAGGCAGCACGGTGAAACTGAGTTTGGCAGGCATGATGTGACTGCATCCCCCCAACTCCATTGGGCAGGACTGTGCAGCTGTTAGCCTCCCCCTTGTGTACAGCGAGAATGCGGAAGTCCCAATTCCTTTTCGTTGCATGAACAGTCTCACATCGACAGCTAGTATTCCCGCAGCTACGCCTTCTTCCTCTTCTTGTTCTTCCAAAGGATTGGCTGCGTGGAGGCTGCAGGGTCTGGACACTCTAGAGTTGGGGTATTTTGATTGACTTCTGCTCCCACCTATGGGGTGCTTGCCGAGACGGCATTGTTTTGTGTTGTGTTGCAAGTGCATTTTGCGAGAGTGCTTGTGCACTGCAGCACGGACCCCGATTTTGCATGTTAGGGTAGAGGTGGCCGACCTCTAGGCACATGTTCCAAACGTTGAGCACAAGTATAGTGCTCAGGGCCATGAGGATTCTGATGCCTTGATGATGCATGTCCGCATTCAAATTGGTCAGGCAGTCTGCAATGCATTGATCGATTGTTAACCAGTCTTTTCTTGGTCGTGCTGGCTTGTGGCCACACATTAGGAGGAAGACTTGCCCTGTGGAGGTTACATCAGCCAATGGCCGATTCAGCAGCTCGTTGACCATTGCATTTGACTCCACATGCCTTCTACCTTGCACCGGACGTAGGGGAGGCAATCAACTTCAACTTTTTTAGCATTAATTTAAATATGATCTAGGTCATGTTTTGGCTTGTGACAAATTTCCACAGGCGTTCCCTCACAGTTCAAGATGCCTTCAGAATCTTGTCCTGTATACTCTTCCTCCCCCTCCCCCTTCTGTCAGCTGCCACCTTACCTCGGTTCCGATGGCCTGCATGCGGCGAGAGTAGATTACAGAAAAAAATGAGAGAGTGTTTTCTTCATGCAGTTTCGTGCACCGATTCTTTGACTGCGGACACATCATCGGCGTCTGATCGGACCCATCGGTGTTTCAGATTTTTGGACTCCTACACGATGTTTTTGAGGCACCTGTCAGAGTAACAATGGGCCACCCCATCATGCACAAGATCCTCCTTCACAATGGGGCTACTTTGTCTGAAGGTTGTATCTATTGTATGAGAGAGGTTCTCCGAGCCCAGGTTGATGATCTCATAGCTGAGGGGTAGATTACTTAAACTACCACACCATACGGCACGTGTTCTCTTCATACAGGAAAGGAACGAGGACCTGCGGCTTCACATAGATTAACACAAGATTAGTGCTCAGACAATTAAAATGCAGGTTCCCTTTCGCGCATTGATGACCTTTCAAAGTGGTTGGGAGGCACACAGTACTTCTCCGGACCTAAAGTCGGGTTACCGTCAGATTCAAATTCCCCTGTAGGATCGCCATAAATCGGTGCAAACATTGTATGGGCATTTCGACTGTGTAGTCTTGCCTTTTGGCCTCACAAATGTCACAGTGACCTTGCATGCAGTGATAACAAATGAGTTAAACTTTTGCGCCATGCTGGATCGATTCATACTTGTTAACTTGGATAACATCTTGGTTTACAAGCCTAACTCTTGAAGAGCACATGGAGGCTGATGGAGGCTGATGGAGGCTGATGGAGCACATTATTTTCGTTTTGAAGCAGCTTTGCCATACCAAGTACAAATCCAAATGGCAATATTGCTCGAGTACATGGGCCATTTCATCATGACTCAGGGCATTCGCTTGCCTATGGGCCATCCAGAATTGGCTTTAACCTGCCAATGCCACAACTGTACACTTATTCCGTGACTTGGCAGGTTATTGCGAGTGGTTCGTCGATGACTACGAGAAGATCGATGTACAAGTTTGGTTCAACCCAAGGATCGACCCTTTGAGTTTTGCGAGGATGTACGTGCTGCTTTTCGGGCACTAAAGGTAGTTGTGTTGGCAGCCCTCATCGGGAGCATCTGTGACCCCACCCTGCTAATTTGAGTCACTATGGGGGCAACACTTGAGCAGCATGACGGTAAGGACTTCCACCCTATCGAGTACTTACAAGGCGGTCCCGTCGGTTCACATGATTAATGGTGCAAGGAAGAATTAGCTTCTCGCCTTTTTATAGCTGGTTCGAAGTGTTCATGGCACTTCCTCCTCGGGTGCCAGGAGTACACGTGGGTTATTGCTCGTCTTCTGTAAAATGCAGGATGTGGGCAACAACACTGTTACTCACTGGATGGCATACATTACTCAATTCAACTTCAATAGTTGTTGCAGTCCAAGGAAATTGAACAGGTTGGTCGACACAATGCTGGTTTTGCCTGGACCTTTGCTTTATTGGCCGCCGGCCCACCAGACATTTGCACGCGATGAGGATCAGCAATGACTTACTTGAGATATGGGTGCATTGTTCATCTCCCACACCCCTGGCATTACGCTTTCACATTCAAGATGGGTTCCTTCTTCTCCATTCACACGGGCTGGACGTACCATGTGTACCTTGCTGTTCGGCATTGTGTGCTATAAGCTACACGGCGAGTATCACAATGCAAACTTTGCAGGTCATCTCGACGTGAACCACACCATGGCTCGTCTTCAACAACAGTTTTACTGGCAGGGACTGTTGACCGATGTGACGGAGTACTGTCACGCATGCAAGGTTTGCCAGCGGTTCAACCCGTACAACCACCCTCTGTATGGGGAGCTGCAGCCGCTTTTGATTCCATCTCAGCTCCATGCTTCTACAGCTATGGATGTCACCAGGGCATTTTTGCATAATTGAATGGGTGCTGATGGGTTTTCGACTGAAATCGGCCCTCTAACCGAGTACCCATGGTTCTTGCCTTGCAAGCACCACACCACCGCCAACGAATTGGCAGAAGTTCTTCACCAGGGCTGGATATGTGTGCAGTGTTTTCCCAAAGACATTGTAAGTGATCGTGACACTCAGCTTATGTCCTACTTTTGGACTTCCCTTATGGAGTGTCACGGGTCCGTTCTGAAGCTGAGTACGTCATGACATCTTAAGACCGGTGACCGGATGGAGTTAGCTCACCAGACTACACAGGTTATCCTCCAAGCCCTCATCCGCCCCGACCAGAAAGATATAGAGCAGTCACTCAGCGAAGTCTTGTTTGCATACCATACCTCTGCTCAACCTACGATCAGCTAGGCCCATTAGAGCTCTAGCATGATGTTACGGTCCGATTATTCATCGACTCCCTCAGCCCGGGGCGGGCTGAGGCGAATTTACCCGGTGCACTTGCCTTTCACAACCTTCGCATGCATGGTTGAAAGCCCGGGATAAGATGACCAGGGCCTACCTTCGCATGTAGCAGCAGGAAAATCACCATCTGTTACCTTGTTCGTTCCATGAGGGCAATCTTTGTTCGGGTTTTGGCTCAGGAACTCAGCCTGGAGCAGGATCTCTCTCGCAAACTCCTCTCCACCACATGGGTTGGGCCTTGGCATATTTTGTCTCCTGCCGGGTGATCAGTCACATGGACCTTCCTTGGTAGTCATTCCAATCCGCCTCCGAGTCGCCTGGTCTTCCACGCCTGGAAGTTTTCTTGCTTTATTGACGCCGAGAGGGACTCCTTCCCTGGCTGGCGTTCCCAGGAACCCCCGTCCATAGATGATTTGCAGGATGTAGCTCAGATCATCAAGCACAGGCCAGTAATGAAACAAGCCCATGCTGGTTGTTGGTTCAAATGTATGGGCCTCGAGACTTCTGCACCCGACCTCTTGGCATCTTACAAGCATCAATGGCATACTCAGGTAGCATGGCGGGCTTTGCCTTCTTGCCCACCCAAGTCTCGGGTTGCTCTTTCCGGGGTCAGAAGGAGGTGTTTTGGGATTCTGACACACCAGGCTGAGGTCCCGGACCTTGCGTGGACAGCCCATTGGCGCTCGGTGTTATTTTTGGCCTTGCTGTGACCAGGCGGGGAGGAAGAGGGACAGGATCACGATTTCAGGTCAGTTGACTCAGTTCTCATTTGCTTTCTGTATTTCTTTTTAATTCTTTATTTGTTTCCTGCCATTCCTGGTTATTTCTGTGTTCTCTGCATTTGTCTTCTTGCAGACAGTGCCTTTTCGGATCATTGTGTCTGTTCGGACCAGTGGAGGTGGGTAGACTTGGCCATTTCTTAGGCCAGTTGGGAGTTTTGTTTGCACCTGGGCTAGACCCAGTTTGATCCAGGCATGCCTGGGCCTGATTCCTTTAGTGGTTGGATATAGGATCGTCCAGGCCTTGCCGCTGATGCAGCATTAGGGTCTGGGCAACTGGTCCAGGTCCAGTCTGCTCATTTTGGCCATTAGTCAGCTGGACCAGGCGCAAAGCCTTCATGCCAGGCCATCAGATTGAATCGCATCTGGTGGACTGAATGGGAGGGCGCCCTGCAACCCAGGAGCCCCAGCATTATTAAGGAGAGGAGAGCCGTGAGCTTCAAATATTGGGCATTCGCACTCTTGAGCTGCTGGAGAGACGCACGGGCATCAGTAATGGATACTGGTG